TATTCATCACTCCAGCTACTTTAGTAAACTTCCATACACCCACCTGTAAGTGCATACACTAACTTTCAATACACACTCGCATACCAGCACACTGCAAATCAAACTATGACTGATTCATGTACACCTGTACACTAGTTACTAAGCAACAGACTTAGCACTATTAAGTTTATTATATGATGAGTTTATTCAAAAAAGTTACTTTACAATACTATAACCTACAAACACAAATAACTAGACAATAACAAATAACATCCAAAATAGTGACAATTTTGTCACACTCGGTCACGTGGGTTCGTGACGTAAGGGGTAAAAGAATCTTGAGGTCATGGGGCTTCCCCTGACCTGGATTCTATCTCTCCGTCACCGGCAGAATCGCTGATTAATGCCTACAGTTCAAAATAGTCATTTTGACTGACTGGAGTCTATGGTGGGTATGAACTATGTGAATAGGCGGGTTCGAAGAACCCTCGCCTAAGTCAATGGGTGTATAATCCACTGAATGTCCAAGTCAATGAGTGTATACTCCACTGAATGTCCAAGTCAATGAGTGTATAACTCACTGAATGTCCAAGTCAATGAGTGTATAATCCACTGAATGTCCAAGTCAATGAGTGTATAACTCACTGAATGTCCAAGTCAATGAGTGTATAATCCACTGAATGTCCAAGTCAATGAGTGTATAATCCACTGAATGTCCAAGTCAATGAGTGTATAACTCACTGAATGTCCAAGTCAATGAGTGTATAACTCACTGAATGTCCAAGTCAATGAGTGTATAACTCACTGAATGTCCAAGTCAATGAGTGTATAATCCACTGAATGTCCAAGTCAATGAGTGTATAACTCACTGAATGTCCAAGTCAATGAGTGTATAACTCACTGAGTGTCCAAGTCAATGAGTGTATAATCCACTGAATGTCCAAGTCAATGAGTGTATAATCCACTGAATGCCCAAGTCAATGAGTGTATAATCCACTGAATGTCCAAGTCAATGAGTGTATAATCCACTGAATGCCCAAGTCAATGAGTGTATAACCCACTGAATGTCCAAGTCAATTAATTTTAATTGTAATGTCAGATTTTCATTTCCATATTTGGCTTCTTCAGAAAATCCTTATGAAATTCCTGCACTATTTAAAGTACCTGCATCAGCTAATCAATAAATGCATCTGTTGTTTCGATGCTATAGCCTAGTCTTTGTCAGTTATGCTGTATGTATTTAATTGGATTACTATTACAACAAAACATGTATGTCTGTTCTATTCATCATCCAAGCTTTCAGAAGATATATAAATTACCATAGTTGACATGATACATAAAGTTCTACAAGCTATACAATATGTGACAACGCTCTCAAAGTTCAAATTAACTATTCTGTCTTTTTTCTACCAGAGAATGAGAAGGAGAAGTTAGAATGGATGGAAGTTTTAAATTCCACCATAAGTGGCGCTCCTCCATCCAAGACAGCCAAAAGGAGGAAAACTGTTAGATATAAAATGAAGGCAAGACAGGTATCAAGGTTTAATTGTTTCTATGGCAACCATTATAATAGTTTTAATTACATAGCACATATCAAAGTCTCTAAATACAGCTATCAACAACATTTTAAGGGGAATGTCTGAAACATTTAATAATTTTATAAATTTGCATTCTTGGCTAAGTTTACCAACTCTAAAAATGTAATTTTGTAAAAGAAATGTTGTCTTTATGCTGAAATCTTTGCATTTGAGCATTTCATTATGTAATGGTTTTCATTGTCAATTTTATTTTTATCACACAATTTGCAGATCATCTCATCATGAAGGATATGCTTGTAGTGTCTGTGTTTGATTGGTAAATTGTGGCTTGAAATTTTTATTTTAGTAATTTCTCTCTGAATTTTATAGTTTGCGATTAATTTTAGATAACTTGTTTTGAGTTTGTTGATATCATTCTGTTCATTGTGTTCAAATTTTTCTTCCATTAAATAAAATAAATGTCTTACAATTTAGCTCTAATTAAATTTTTAATGTTTGTTGGTGTCATACGTTACCCTTCCAGAGCAAGTTACATTGGAGTATTTCTGACCACTATTTAATAAATGTAGTTTTTATGTAGTTCAGTTTGGTTTTTTGGGGCTATCCTGGTTAATTAATATTGGAACTTTAGCATGTTGTATTTTGCCCAGTATGGGAATACCTTACTGACTATTTCTAATTATATTGGATAATGACCCAATTCACCTAGTGATGCAATATTTGTGAACCCCTAAAACATTTTTATATTGTTTTTGACTCCCATGTGCGAAGCACAAAATGGGAGTCTTTGCAGTTAGTGTGTCTGTATGTGTGTATGTGTGTATGTGTGTATGTGTGTATGTGTGTATGTATGTGTGTGTGTGTGTATGTGTGTATGTGTGTCCGACTGTTCCACTGCTATCTCAAGAACCATACATCAGTTTTTGATGAAACTTGGTGCATAGATGCTCTGGGCCAATGCGCAGATTTGATTAGGTTTTGGTAAAAATCCATGCTCGTTAATTACCTAATTTGCATGATAATTAGCTAATTTTTAGCTGTTCTATGACTGTTCCACTGATATCTAAAGAACCACTCATTGGATTTTGATGAAACTTGGTACATAGATGCTCTGAACATATGCGCAGATTTGATTAATTTTTGGTAAAAATCCGTGCATATTAATTACCTAATTTGCATGATAATTAGCTATTTTTTAGTGGTTCCATGACTGTTCCACTGATATCTAAACAACCACTCATTGGATTTTGATGAAACTTGGTACATAGATGCTCTGAACTAATGCTAGGTTTTGATTAGTTTTTGGTAATAATCCGTGGATACTAATTACCTAATTTGCATAATGATTAGTCAATTTTCGGTTTTTCCACTGATATCTCAAGTACTAATCATCACATTTCAATGAAACTTGGTACAT